CAGAGAGCCCACACATTTAAGACCACCCAACATGGTTTCCCAAGCTACATTGACGCTTTCTGCTTGCGTGCCCGCGCAAGCCAAAATTTCCGTTCTAGTCCGACTTCATCTCCTTTCTGTACTGCAATCATGGTGAAACCTATGACGAAAGCATTGGAAACATTGAAGCGGTTTTTGGTCTCCCAAGAGAAAAGGTTCATATTTTACAGTAAGGGAAACCATGTTGGGTGGTCTTAAATGCGTGGGCTCTCCGCATATGACTTCCTATTTAGTCATTACTGTAATCATTACTGTGATCAGATTAAGTATGTAGAATACTTCCGAAGGCGAATTTTCACTCTGTTTTTGGTAGACTAACAAAACTAATGAGACTAATGAGACTGACGATGGCTCACACTTGTGCTGCTCGTTAAAAAATGTTGTTGGATGGATTGCGTGTCTGCTAACTAACACTAGGATCCCAAAGGCAAGCTTTTAAGACCACCCGACACTTTCATGGCGCCTTGTTTCCTGAAAATTACTTCAGGTCGCATACATTCTGACTGCGGTGGTAGCCCTATACTTGATCATAGGAGCAGCAGCCCAGATCGTCTGCAATATGATCGGATTTGCATACCCTGCTTATGCCAGCGTAAAGGTACCAAGGTAACGTTCGTACTTTGCGGCAGCGTCCACCAGCGTTTCGAGTGTCTGGCAGCGTCAGGGACTAGGGAAGTATAGGTATCGATCTAGCGTCTGCCAGCGTCTACCAGCGTTCACTAGCGCCTCGAGGACTAGGAAAGAATAGGTATCGATCCAGCGCCTGCCAGCGTTTGCCGGCGACCAGCAGGCTACTGGTAGAGGGTATGATGTGATAGGAGGGTATCAGCCGCCATCATGCCTACTATCCTCCCATCGCGCCCTCTACCAGCAGTCTGTTACCCTCTTATCTCCCCATACTATACCAGCTGTCTTGTACCCTTCAGTCGCGCCATTCTCTCTACCAGCAGTCTGCCTCACTTCTATCTGCCCACTCTCTACCAGCTGTCTGCGACCCTTCCCCCCTCCCCCCGTACTCTGCATTGCCGGGCGCTGGAATGTGCTGGTGGACGCTAGATCGATATCTACACTTCCCAGTCGCTGACGCTGCCGGACGCTTGGAACGCTGGTGGACGCTACTGGTCGCTGGTGGACGCTGCCGCAAAGTATGAGCACAGGCTGACTTGTATGTTCGCACGCTCAATCAGTCTATTTGCACGATAGTCATTTCAAGGCAGTACGAACCCAAGACACGAAAGATGACACACAATGGCTCATCTATTGGTGTGTATTTGCTGCTTTTTCGATCATCGATTTCTTTGCTGGTTCAATCATGCAATGGTTCCCATTTTACTGGCTGTTCAAGGTGTGTCTTTATCCAGTAGAAATGTCAACTATGTTGAATCGATAAGTATCAATCCTCTGAACATAGCGGCCGAATAGACCGATTACACTTCATAACTCGGAGATGGAGTGGGCGTGGCTGCGTGCTTCATGTGAACGTGGTGTGGAATGCGTTTGTCGTGGCACGATTCCTCTTGAGACATTCAAGATTCTGCATAGCTTGCTTGACAAAACACATAATCACCGTTTTCACAACATGGCAATATTCAATGACGGTGTCATACGGCAATCTCCTTCAAAACCCTTATGCGAAAGCTCCACCCACGAGCTAGCCCCGCCCACCAACAAGAGATGCATCATGCACAGAATGGATGGTGAAAAAGTGATACGATTTCAGGTGGCGTTTCTCATGTTCCTCTTTCTGCCTCAGACAAAAGGTGCTCATTATTTGTTCTACCAGTACCTGGACCCATTGGTAACTGCGATTGATGAAAGTATCGCCAAAAGAAACAATTCGTAATTCGCTCATCTGTGCGATTTCTATCAATAAAGATGTGCAGAGCTTATGAACATTCTCCTGCATTATGTCTGAAACTGTAGCAGCAGTTATGACGCAGCTGTGTTGAAGCAGATACTACATATAAGGAGAGAAGAAGAGAAACTTGTGGATGAAAAGGGCTGAGGTTATACTTTAAACAACAAAAATAGTCATCCTCAATATCTGGACCGAACTTGCATTAGGACCAAATTCGATGAAAAGGCAAGAACAAAATTGAATTGGAGAGAATGAGACCGACTCTTGCGCACAAGCTCATCATACAGCGGCACAGGGGGGCAAAAAAAAGTCACTTTGCCTCATTGACTTTCGAGGCGCTATAAATTACACTTTATCAAATTCTGATCGGACATTTTTACTACCATATTGAAGAGCATATACTACTATCATCGACACTGCGCCACAGTCATTTCTGGGACCGGAACGCCATAAGAATTTGCCACGGCACCGCGAGTGTACCTGAATCAGCGGGAAGTTTCGAGCTCCGCCAACCGTTAACACCCCTGTTAGCCGCCCAGACTAGCAAATTGAGGTTCAGGTCAGCGACATACTTCAATAGTTACATCTTCTTCATACGAAACGCCCTTCCATTCAGAGGCGCACGTTTTTCCAAACCCTTTGATTCCATGGTGCACCCAAACCTGTAGCAGCACAAGGTCTCCAAGAAGGTACGGGCGACCACATGTAGGGAGGATATTCTTCTCGAGTTACTTGATGTAACCGCCAGCGCTCACCTTCAGTCGGGGTCTACAAAGAAAATATCGGTCTTCCCTTTCCAGGTACCCCGGTCCATACCATCAACTCGCGCCTCGGCGAATACGGTGAAGATGATGTCCTAGACCGTAGCGACGTTGCCGTAGTAAAGCTGCTCGATTGGAGAGTCTGCAGGATCAAGAGTACTGACCTCCAGGTAGCTATCTGTGGATGACTTCATTCAAGAAGTTTCGCAGCTGTTTGGAGGCGACGTGAATTCCAAAGGTGTTCTCCAGTCAGGCCGCGACTGGAGATGACTTCATATTTTGGCGTACATGAAGGCGATTGGCGGCAGCCTGCTCCAGCTTATAGAGGAAGATCTTGGTATGCTGCACTCTGGTAAAGACTATACTCCACTCCCTGTCTGCGGCTTGCCGAAAACTTCGTTGATATGTTGCTCGCCGAAAGACTTTTTGTTGGCCCCCACCCCGTATACGATCAATTGAATAGACTTGCCAAGAAAGATTCGTGATGAGCAATGAGAAGTTTCGAGCATGTTTTCGTTGTGCGAGTGTGGGAGACGCTATGAGATTCCGTAACTAAGCTAGTTCAAGTGAAGTTATAAGCTGTTTCGTTGATACTTGTCCATGAGAAGAAGCAGAAAACAGTAGAATACTTGCATGTTAGAGATAAACATCGTTCTGTCACTGACCATCTGCCGCCGATGACGATACCGCTGAAAGACACAGCTGCTGCCTCTCTTGGCAGTGCTCCTGTCATTTCAAGGAGCAATTTCTTCAGATTTCTCTCTTCAGATAAGCATTTCTCTCCAGAACATGAGCTAGAAAGGGACTACGAGATACATTCAAAGGTGGGTTCCGCCAACAAGAAAGGCGAAAGCAGACTCCATCCAAGAATTCTAATTTTCCAAATTCTATCAGTTATGGGATCAAACGTGTTCCGAGCTTCAGAACTAGTCAACGATATAACTTTTTCCTTCAGTAGCGATATTCGACATAACACTGCCAGGGATACGCCGGTGCTTTAATATTAGCTGATAGTGTTTCCAGGCACAGCACCTCCACCCGTTCTCACTCAAGGACTCAGGATGTATTCCCGTGACCAGCGATTTCAAATAATAGGCCAGCGGACTGTCGTTCACATATGGACGGCGTGACTGATTGTTCTTATCAAACATGCATGTTGGATGCACTTTCTCGTAGGATATTTCCGTTTGAGGAAACTGTATCATGTCTTTGTGCGAGACAAAGACATCATTACAGCTGTTCCAAATCGGCAACATCCCGCCAAAAGCGCCGCAACAACCACATTCGAATGAGACTTGCAGCCACGCCCATTCCATCTCCGGACATGGTCCATTTCTCATCGTCATTGTTTGGCTATGCTGGACAGCTTACCACAGGTATAAGGAGAAATCAAGAGGAGCATGGTTTCAGAGGGGAGATTCGAACTCAACACGGAATTAGAACTCCAAATTCCAGTGCCACTATTAGTAGAGCGTGACCTCATCTACCGCTTGGTAGCTCATTTGTTGAGCCTGTAGCTCTCACAGTAGTAACAAGCGATCATGAAAATATTGGGGTCCTGGCAAACTGAAGTAGCAAACACGGAAGGCAGCAAATCAAGTGAGCTGTCCGCGCGTTCATGGCATACAGCGAGAAGTGTACAGTAAACTCCAAATCTCTGGAAATTCCACAGCACCAACAAAGATGATAAAATGATGGAAAATGTTTCCGAAAACTCTTCTGCTGAGACTTGGTCCGTTTAGAAGTTCGTCCGCAAAAAGTTCAGAAGTTCCTCCATATCAGTGCGTCTAATAAGGGGAGGGACAGGAAGTAGCCGAACGCTGAAGCCAGGGAACTGATCTAGCAATCGAAACAATCTAACGTGATAGTGTAATTGTGGTTATACCGTCTTATAAGCCCGGGTGGCGCATTGCACTTCTCCCTCGTTGTTCTAAGGATAGCAGTGGAGCTTAACACAGGCGAAGGACGTACAGCTTCCTTATGAACAGCACTTCGTGATACTTTTACTTTTGGTAGGATGGTATGCGGCACAGAATTACAATACCCCATAACACGTCTATGAACAAGGTAGCATTGGAGTGGATTGTTGGTACTTGAACATGTGGAGATGTTAGAAATTCTCGCTTACCTTAGCAAGATCTCCTCCTTCAACAGCTGTTGGCGGCTGATAGTTTATTCCAACTTTGAAGCCTGTTGGGCACCTTAACAAATTCTTTTATGCTTAGTGGTGGGACATTCCCCAAAGTTATGATTTTATAAGGATGCCGAGTAGCGGGCAGAAGTCCGGCCCCAGTTGGGAATCGTACTTGTGCCTCACACCATCGAGGTGCGTGTGCTATCCGCTCTTACACTCACCATCAGCTCAATGACTTCCGTGCCTTACGACACTAACACCTTTAACGTGATGACGTTCACGCCCGAAAATTAGGAGGTACGGGTTGGCCTAAGCTCAAAACTTTTGACCGTGTTCGGCTCAAGAGCAAGTATCAATATGCTTGAAAGCATGCAATCGTAATCGTAGGTGAGCAGTACCACAGAGAATTCAGCTTCCGACCAGGCAACAAAGGGACCCTACAACAACCTCCTCATTTACCAAGCCTGCTCTGGTGGCATCGAAGAAGCTAACCAGATTGCTCCATCTGGTGATCTTTTTAGGGGTGTGTGTCAGGACTCACCGCCGTGCCCGAAAATAGGTCGCCGCGCGCGGTGACCTAGTTTCGAGCGCGGCGGTGACTCCTGGCCGTCTCCCTCTTTTTAGTCATGTATCAGATCGAGTCTTCAGCACTATTGAAGAAATAAGAAATGAACTGACCAGTCGACGAACTGGATTCCTCTTCTGGTCTTCACGGAGGCGATTGC